TAAATAAATAAATACTATTTTTTTAAAAAACACAGAAATACAAGTAAAACTGAACGTAGTCTAGGGCACCTGGGTGTCTCAGTCGGTTGAGCCTCCAACACTTGATTTCAGCTTAGGTCTTGATCTTGGGGTCGTGGGATCAAGCCCTTACTCGGGCTCCACGCCCAGCGAGGAGTCTCTTTATCCCTCTCCCTCTGTTCCTTTCCTTGCTTGCTCTCGAGTGCTCTCTCTCTCTCAAATAAATAAATAAATATCTTTAAAAAAACCAAAAAAACCCAAAACTGAATGTAGTCCAGCAAAAGAATCAAGTGTAAGATGCAGGGAGCATTCCAAATCAGTTAAGAAAGAGATGAATTATTCAACAAATGCCACTCGGTCAACTAGAGAGGCGAGTGGGAGAAAAATGAACCCCTGACTCACTTACGATACATTAAACATTTAATGTAACAATTTAATGTAAATTAAGTTTAATGTATAAATTTAATGTAACTTTGAACCTTATCTTCACAGAAAAAAATCACCAAAATCAAATATAAACTTATCAGAAAACTATGAGGGGTAAAACAAGTCTTTTAGAAGAAAACTGGGTATCTACAGATCCTGGGGTAGACAAGGATTTCTTAAACAGGACCCAAAAAAACACAAGCTGTGAAGGGAAAAACCTATCTGTGTATGAATAGAATACCCTGGATGATATATGTCTCCTAAGAACTGGAAGGCAAAAGGGAGGTTTTATGTCTTAAATTTCATACTATATATATCACCTATTTAAATTTTTTAAATTTGCAAAAATTAACTATTCTAGTTAAGGTTTTTAAGGTAAACAAAGAAAAACATTTAAGAACTTAAGGATAAAATTAGAGATTTGAACAAAATTCAGCCAGAAGGATGATTCCTAATGCATTCTAAAAATAAGAAAGGGACAGCAAATGCACATTTTACTTGGAACCCAACTCACTTGTTCCAAGATACCTCTATTCCACATAACAGAAACCAAATCTTTTCCCAGGCGTCAATACTGAATTAAATATGAAGTGGCAAGAGGGGACTCAGAGGAGGCTCTATGCCTCATCATACTCAGTTTTACTTACCCATCAGGCAGTTTGCGTTAGTGTGCTCTGGGAAAAATGGGCACCAGGCCCGTCAAGACTGTTGTTAATCAGGGAATTTTCAAAAGAAAAGAAGCATTACTAAGTCCTAAAGAGTAAGACTGCCTTTCACGGATGAGAATGGAAGTAACTAACCTGGGATATGGCTTTCACTAGTTCAACAGTCATTTCCACCTTTCCTTCCTGGCTTCTCTTGGAGAACAGCAGTATCCTAGAGGACAGGCATGGAGGGAGAGAAAGGGGAGTGAGAAGATGAGGCCTGCTCTCCACTCCCAGAATCATCAGCCTAAAAATTCTGTCTTCCCCTTCTTCCTCCCAGCTTTCCTTAATTCCACTGCCCAAATAACTGGAAGATTCTAGGCAACCTATGGCCACTGAGGACTGTAACTTATAATTCTGTTTCTCTTATGCTTGAGTTCCTAAATTTAATCTTTTTCCTAAAAGTTGCCTTCCCATTCTTGGTCCTATTTTTATAGGTAAAGGTGGCTCTTTCCCTCCCTGCATCTCTGCTTCATGCTTTGACACAGTCTACAATTTGAAAAGCTGACTCCTCAATGCATCAGAAGCCAGGGTTATCATTCTCCACCCAAATCCCCACAGGCCTCGCCTGCCTCTCACGCTGGAACAATGGGCACTGGCATAATTTAGCATCCGATTCTGCCACCTTCAGTCCCACCTCTGTCTTCGGTCCCTTGGTTTCCCTTCCTTTTTGTCACCCAGAACTGAAGGTATCTCCTGCTCCAGTGGGGGGCTCTAGTCAGTCGCCCCACCTACTGCTTTTTCCTGGAATTCTTGAACTGGGAGCAGAGAATTCTACTCTAGGATTCTTACCTCAGCAGCACACAATACCCAAAAGCAACACACATCAAGAAGCTGGTGTTCTTCCAAGTAGTCTCCCCATACACATCAGTCACTCCGGGCCAGCGACAAGCACACAGTGTGACACGCAAACACTGACCCAAGATCTCACCGACTTCCTGACCACAGAGGACATAATCCCAAGCACCCAAAGGAAGCAACATCATATGCAGTCACATACACCATGGTCTCGGAGGCCCATGTACACACACATGGTGATACACAAATATCACACACACACCCCCAATCTTATTCTCTCACCCATAACATGGCTCACTGCGCCCTCATCTCTGCCTTGCTCATGCAAGCACACTCCACAACCTAAAAGAGGCTCTATCTGCAAGCCTTCAGGGGACAACCTGCAGTTCACATGGTCTCCGTCCTGCTTACTCTGGTCTCACACACAACCACGTCACTAGCTTTCCTCTCTCTCACACACACACAAACGTGATGGTCTCTCACACTCCACATTCACACACAAAAACACAC